AGCTCAGTGCCGTGGGGGTCATACACTGTTGCCTTAACAGTCAAAATAGACAGAAATCAGTATGGGAAATCACACACAACACCCACACAGATACAAACACACACACACACACACACACACACACACACACACACACACACACACACACATTCACCTGGCTCGCAGCTCTTTGTCCCATCACTGCTTCATAAGGAGGGGGGCAGTCAGTGGGGTAGAGAGGAACAGGGCTCTCCATGGAGCCATTATAGGTGATGCTAGACATGAATACAAAAATATTGAACACATTTTCTTACACACTCTGTCCAATGTGTCTATATGTGTCCATGTGCTGTTATGTACTGTACACAAGCGATGCTGATGTATAATATTTTATTTTAAGTCACCTCTGAGCATCAGTTTCAGAGCTGCAAGTGTACTCAGGAGGATAGTAAGGAGGGGGAGGAATGGGTGGGACAAACTCCTCAAAATCCATGATGTTTGTCAGGAAGGCGTCCTGAGGAGTGGTGCATTCTGGGTTGACCGAACGAGACCGATGTGGTGCCAGCTAGGCAGGGAGCGTAGGAAACACACACAACAGATAGATGTAATGGGCTACAACATTTGTACAAAGTCTGCTTTCAAATGTAAACCTTAATCCCTGAATTCAGCAGTGTAGTTTACTGCTCGATACTTGTCATTTGTGGTGGAAAAAAAAGGCCAGTCTGGTGTAAAATGTGCTGTGTCTGCACTCACCAGGTGCACAAGGTCCAGAGAGAATATGTGGATACTGCAGGTCACAGTGGACAGAGTACAGATGATGGTGGAGAGAATGCTGAGACCACATGCACTGAACAAAAGGTCCTGCAGAGAAATGCGCATTCAGAAAATCTAAATCTGACTACATGAAGACGTTTTATTGCTAGAAATATGTCACATTTATAGGATAAGTTCACACTTTTTCCAGAATATCTTAAAACAATGCTAAAACACTGTAACTTTGGAAGATATCCGCTAGATTTGTCTAACTCAGACTGCTGACGCCTCATATTAGCATCACATGAATGCATTTCAGTATACTCATATATCCATGTGATATATTAAAATTAATTTAATTAGGGATCTTTTAATGGCCAGTGTGAACAGGAGGAATTATTACAGCAAGCAAAACCAGTTTCAGTGTTCATATGGGCAGCTATTGTTTTAAGACAGACTTGAAAGATTGTGAGCAAATCCTTTAATAGTTAATTCGATAAAATTATAATTTAGGTCTCCAGAGTAGAGACACATCCTACTCACCTTCAGTTGATGTCTGACTGAGTGACAGTCAGCATTCAGGTAGAGGACCAAGGTCTCCTCCTCTGTGATGGAGCAGGAGTGAGTGGGCGCGCAGCACACACACAGACCATTCTCCACCTACACACATTCCCATACACAGTGGTGAAGCACTGAACTGTATACTAAAAACATATTCTCACTTATTCCTGTCACGTTCCACATGGATCTAACTAGAAGGGCATTTCAGCACGACACAGAACACTTGCATAATGTTGTGTACCTGGCAGGTGAGCATAGACTTGACCATCTGTGCGTTCTGACAGGAGAGCATGGAGCCGGCCAGACTGAGGATCACACACACTGCAGACAGCAGCATGAACAGTGACACCTGTGGAGGAGCACAGAGCCATGCTTTGATTTAGAGAAGGGTGTCAAAACTTGTGCCATGAAGGGCCAATACAGTGCAGTAGTTTTATTCTTCCAACAGAAGACTTTGGCAGGTAGTTTCACTGATAAACATTCAGCCTCGCTGGCTGAAGAACTAATAAGTAATGTTTTGTAGGTAACATTTTGGTTTTTGGATGAACTGAAAAGCTGCACATGTTTTTCCCTCCAAGTCATGCCCAGATCAACCACTCCCAAATTTGTGTTGGTTACTTATTTTGTAGTACTTTTACTGAATTAATACATGAATACACACAATGTAAGCACTGTGTAAAATAGTATTGTGTAGTACAACTACACTTCAACACAAGCACCATTAACAACGGGTCAGAAGACCAGGTAAACATACAGGACACACTGTAAGGCTCTTTCATTTAGCTGTTTCCAAAGTCAAGAATAAACTCAGCTTTTAAGCCAACATGGATGAGAAATCCTTAAAGTGCTCAGAACAAATGGAACTTTGAACATCTACAATTTTGTGACAACTAGGTGTTGTGATATCATCCAAAACCCAAAACAGCTACTAAAGGGACCTTGTGTTGAAACTGTTTTCTTCACATCTCTTTATATCATGCTTTAGTGGTGCTAATTTACAGTCAATCAAATGACAATAACCTGGTTGACACACAGTGAACTGTGGATTTTCTGGTCCCTTGTGGGTCTTGGACCCCTCTTAACCCTGTTGGTAATCCAGCGTTGCTCCATGGCACATGGTTTTTAACCCATAGCTAAGAAACTTGAATGCTCTTTTTATCAGACAGAAATATACATACCACCAGCGTCAGAGGTCTCCTCCATGAGATTATTCCAACTATCCCTGATGCGACCACCTGCAAACAGACCCCACATACATCAGAAATCACGTCCCTCAGGATCTCTGTTGGTGTATTAATACTGTATGTTTTAAGTCTGAGTCACACTTACAAAGAAGCCAGCCCAGAATGGACAGGACTGCCTCACACGTGCTGAGGAGGTGAAGGCCATGCTGGTGAAAGAGAAGGCCAGGACCATGGCCCCCAGGCCCAGGTGGCACAGCCCTAGGTACAGGAGTAGCCGTGCCCCACCAGGCCCCCGGCCTGACATACCCCTGCGGCTATCCGACCAGCCTCGAGACCCCGAGGCCGAAGCCACACTGCTGGAGTCTGACGGCGAAGGCATGTTAGGCTCGTCTGCGAGCCGAGGAGTCTGGAGAGGTCTCACGCTTACTCTGGGTTCATAAAACGTGCAGTTGTGTGGGTAGACGTACAGAAGAGCAGAAGAGGCAGAGACATAAATGCTGGCTTCAGAGCTCCACTCGGTCACAATTATGCACCAAGCTCTCCACTGGCAGGTGCCATAGGTTCTGCGCAATGCCCCATGGTGCGCACTATAGTCCAGTGAGTGAGTCCAAGAACTTTGTCAGCAGAAAGTTGAGAATTGAGCAGCCACTACACACTCATAGCTACCTACTCACCTCATTTGACATTTCAGCCATGATACTAACTGCTTCAGTCAATACAATGTCTCTTTCACCCCATGCAGTTCACAGGCCACAACAGCCTATAGAGTAGTCTATACCATTAACCTCTTGCTCCGTCATTCTCTGATTAAATCACACAAATGAGGTTGTTGTTTTTTTTTGCAATCTACACACCATTGTTTTACTCATTTGGTTTTTGCTGCTCCCCCCTCTCCATCTTCTGCCTTCCACCTCTCCCTCCTCTCGCCAGTGGCATTGCGGTAACTGGAGACCCGAGCAGGCCGCAAACATTAAAGCATCCCAAAGAAAGCAGCTGATCCCTCCTCGCTTCACCCCCCAGCAGAGATGACATGAGCCGGTCAGTCCGTGTGTCCAGTCAGGAGGAGCGACATCCGAACATGTGCGCTCCCCTCCCCGCAACCTTAAGTTAGGTCCTCATCTTGTCACGAGAAAAAAAAAAAAAAAGACGGTGTGGAGACCAAAGCGCCAAGATCACATCGGTTCGTTCGGGAAGCGAGACTAATTACCTCGACATGAACAGGAAATAAATATCCTCCATCGATTTTCAAACTGCACCAAAAATAGCAGCCAAGCTGGAATGAATCTTTCCTCGCAGGTTTCGATCTTTGACAACTCCACCTCGGGGGTTTTGCGGTGGTCCACACACGCACCTACAGCACCCCTCCTCCTCCTCCTCCTCCTCCACCACCTCCACCGCCTCTTTCCTCCCTGCAGTCACGCGGGCATCCCGTTCAGCCCGTGTGTTTGTGTGTGTATGTATCCCGGACGTTTACCTCACTGCCTCCCACCAGGCGTCACATGAACATAACAACATACCCGTAGGCTTAAATCCATCCAAGTTTATTTGTGATTCTTCTTTTAATATTTGCCCCTCCCTCCGCTGCCCTCGCGTCCTTTCTTCTGCTCCTCGGTACAGCTCTGGCACTAGGAGAGGAATGTATCGTGTTTGCAAACCGAAACCTGCCCTGCGTGATGACAAGGCACGCAGCAGAACGTGTAGGCAACTTGAAGATGCGGCAGAGCGCGCGTACACCGTCGTGGTGCTGATGCTGGGAAGGAGGGGCGGTTGCCTAGCGACAAGCTCCAGCTCCGGCTACTGCAGCAGCGTGGGGGGTGGCGGGGGGGGGAACTATCACCGTACTGGTCGCTAGGAGGATAGTTGTTAAAAGGAGAAGGCAGCAGCCGGTCCTGGTAGTGAGAGTGTCCCATAGATGCTTGGTCTAATTTAGTCCTATGTATTAACCAGCATTGTGTCTGTCAATAACATATTTCCTGTCAGTGTCCTTGAGACACAAAGCCACCTTCTGATTTGCAAGTAACTCTAAGTTGCCTGACTACTTGTTCTTTACTTCAGTCTTTAAAGTAAATTAAAAGATTGTTAAAAACTATTAACTTGGTTGGTTAGAAAGCCAAAAATTACAGTACATGTCTAAAACAGATCATAGCAATGATGGAAAAATTGGAGGCTGAAACACAAAACAGTATTTACGTCTTTCTAGTTCCATTTTCTTCATATGTTTGCAATCTAATGTATATATTCAGATTTTCCCATATTGTAATTCTACTATTTCTTCCCACTCATCATGAGGTTTCTTTCCTGTTAAAGGTTTTTCTTTGGGATGTTTCTCCCAAATTAATCATCTATGGATATTTTAAAGCCCTTTGAGGTACATTTGTGATTTTCTGGACAATAAAAATAAAAGAATTACTTGACTTTTCACAATAAAACACTTACAAAATGCATGACCAAGCAACACATAGTCCACACAATCCAAGCTGCATGCTCTTGTTACTGTTACTGTGCCAACATAGAGATTCAAACTACATCACACTCATGTTTTATTCAGCAAGCAGAAGGTCTGTTAACTACATACAAAGTCTTGTGGCAGGTCTAACAGGACACAGAATGTGAAAAAAAAGCTTAAAAAGTAGTTACAGGAAACACAGTATGTCTGTCAGGATGAGATGAGCACCTATAATCAGAGTCATTTTGAATGATCTGAAATTGCCCGAAGAGGGAGACATGTCACATGTAGCTAATGTGTGATAGTTTACTAAGAAATTCATTAGGCACTTCAGATAAAAGGCAAGACCCACTAAATCAATTCAAAATGAGGGGCATGTGAGCACTGCTTCCCTCACATCCTGTCCATTCACTTACATTATCCATCATTGTTTCATCCCTCCACCCATCTTCTCATATTGCACTTATCTCTGTTCCTATCTTCCACATTCTCAATCCATTCATCTGTTAAAACGAAGCTTGTTTATCACCCGTGTTTGTTTCAGATTCAACTTCATACAACCAACATCAACAACTTGCATGAGCATGTTTTCAACTTCTCATAGGATGTACTCACAAAATGTCCACGTAATAGACTCTTTAATAATCAGTGGCATCTGTTTCTGTAGATTCTGTTGAATGCTTTACAATACTGTACAATATTAAGACTTTTCATCAATTCACAAAGGATAAGCACAACATTAACATAAATGTAACCAATAAAAAGCTTAATGTTCAGTTTGTGACATCTCTGCAATATATGCCACTAAAATAGGGGGAAATAAAATGTGTACCCTGTCTCTGATATGGCACTGCAAGAAAGGGATGTCAACTGTCTGTTCCATTGATGTGAACTGACCAAAGTAAAAATAAATTGGTAACCAAACATGTTTTTGGACTTATTCAGTAATCAATTTAGTAACACTGTCCAGTATTTAAACCATCTAAAAGAGTCTGTGAGATGCCTGTGGCCCCTTGAATTCAAGATGAACAGGAAATAACAAACATCTGAGTCAAATACTATAACCAGAAGCCTACTGTGTGTGTACTGTATGTGAATCAAACCACTTCCCATCAAACTTCTCCTCTAACACGGAGCTCCTAAAAAGACACTACTGCCGGTGCTCACATAAGAAAGCAATGAAATGGTTCCACTGAACTGTGTAAGTGTTTTACCCAGTCCAAAACATGATTTAAAAAACCAAGGTAAAGTTCTTTAAGGACATTAAGCAGTGCTGTTGTAGGGATGATAATGTAGTGATAAGCCAGAGAAATACAGGGCGGAAATACAAATGTATATCTTATAACAAAAGGTGGGAACTGCTGTTTTGAGGTTACAAGCACTTTGCAACATTTTCATGATAACACCATCACAGGAAGTGTGGCAGATTAAGTTCAGTGTGAAATTAAGGCACAATCACCTCTATCAAATACATAAATTATTTTTCTGGCAAAGTATGCTTTTGGGGGAAAAAAGGTACCAGAATACCGGTAATTTTGGTAATTTAAAAAGTATGTATTTGACATTTTAGCCCACCAGATGGAGACAGAAAACCTGCCGTGCTGTATTTCTCCCCAGTAATACTGATGTGTTCTTAAATGTATATGCTCCTTTACTATGTGTGCTGGCCAGCGTCCCATCTAGAGAAGAACACATTTGGAGGATTTTTTCTCTGTACTGCTCGTGATTTTCACCTCTCGACCTGTGGGGCCCTGTCAAACAAATAAAGGTAGACAAAGAAAGGAAATTAAAGACAAACCTAGTTTAACATATAATCTTATGTTTAGTTTAGTTTGGTATTATTTGGTTTAGTCTGTTCTGACTTACTGCCTTCTTGCCGGATTTCTGTAGTATGTCTCGTGCCAAAGACAGAAAAGACTAAAAGAAACAGAAAGATGAAAAAAATAGTGAGAGAGAATGAAAATTAAGGCGTATGTAGCATATTGACACATAACTAAATAAACAAGAGCCAAAGATTAAGGAGGTATGAAGACAGTGTTTTGTCAGCGGTTACGTTCCGGCTCACCTCCTCCACATTAATGCTGGACTTTGCACTCGTCTCGAAGAACCTGATGCCGTGATCTTTTGCCAGCTGTCAACAACAGACACGGACCTGATTACAGTGGGTCAGGATGTTGGTAATAATCACTTCCTGCTTCTTATCTTAAGTAGATACAAAGCGGATACATCAAAAAAGTGTGTGACTCAGTCAGTGCCTTCCTCAAACAACCACTCCCTCTCATATTTAAAAAGTAGGATAAGTATTTATTTCTATTGTCTCTTCCTCGTAATGAAACGTCTATTAGTGCATCATGGGACAGCAAATCTAACATCTATGTATCGACTTCTCTCTGAATGACCCTACTGTTACTACATAATTACACATATAAATAAAAAACAATACAACACATTGGGAATAATTAGGTTTCTGTGTGGGTCGTCTCACCTTTTCTCCTGTCTCCCTGGAAACTTTCCGCTTTGCTTCAATGTCGCACTTGTTACCTAGTAGCATTCGACTGACCCCAGCTGATGCATTCTGGGAAAGAGGGAATGCGGTTAATTGTTTGGCAAGGTTCAGTTCTTGTCTACAAGAATGTTTGCTTGGTAAAGCAGACATCTTTACGTCCCATGAACTGAACAACAAGAAGGAGATGCACTTGAGAGGCAGTTTCTGTGCAGCAGCTGCTCTGCGGGAAAACTCTCTCTGTATGTAAGACCACCCAAGACAAATGTCTAATATAAAACCTGTTAGCCAGGTAAAACATTAGTTCACCTTGTAGTATAGTAAGTTGTTTGGACAGCATTTAGTCTTATTGACAATTGCTTACAATTAAAAGTTTAAAGAGAAGGTACCAAATGATCTCACACACGCTGATGGTCATTTGTACTCACTCTATTAATGATTTTTCAGTTCTTAAACCTTGATCAGGATAAATGTATTTTACCGGTGACAATGTGTGACAATGGGCGTCCTGGTAGAACAGTGGTTAAGACCCACATCATACACTGTAATCACAACATCAGTGGTTCAATTCAGGGTCATTCCTCCTTTCTCTTTCTATCCTTGTTTCATGTGCGTCTGTCTGTCTGTCTTCCTCTCTCTCTCTCTCTGTCTCTTTAATAATTGTGAACTCATTATATTTGAGGATTGGACCGCTAATCAACTAAATTCGATGACATCACCTTGGGCTCTAGGGATTTCTCAGGATTTTCTGACATTTTATACAAACAGAGTTATTAATTAATCAATTAGTTTTGAAAATAACCTGCCTACAGCCGCAACCTTAATTTGTTCCTTATAAAGAAGTTCCAGTGAAACTCAGGGTAAGAGGGGAGCTGTCGGTTTAAAACAGTTTTGCAATGCGCCTGCTTTGTTGTTGCAGTTGAGCTCAGGCCCTTTCTCGTGACTAACACATATCCAACTGACTAAACACTATTTTTAAGTCTTTCCTGGTTGTATTGAGAGGAAACAGTCTCACTTCTTTGATGCTCTTCATCCAGTTCTGAATGTTTTCGAAGGACTTCTCGTCTGTGATGTCGTACACCAGGATGATGCCCTGGCGCAGAGCGAGGAGAGAGACAAAGAGAGAGGATTTAAGGAGTCAGTGAAAGGTACAGAGCGAGCACAAAGGGACAGTGATGTCAGCCTGATTATCCAGTCTGCTTGTTCTGCGGGCGTCCTGTGCTCACCATGGCTCCTCTGTAGTAGGCTGTCGTAATGGTCTTGAACCTCTCCTGCCCTGCTGTGTCCCTGCACAAAGCACACATACGAAAGCATAAAATGTGCACCGATGCATGTTGCAAAAACTTTAAAACGCAGCCGCAGTCGAAAGGAGATGTAGCTGAATGTAGCGCGATGCATTTCATGTGCCTGTCACACTGTCACACAAGCTGGATTTGATGCTGTAACGAAACTCTTGATGTGACATGAAGTGACTCTGTGTCCATGTGTGATGGATACTTGGGCAATAAACCCTGTCATAAAGTCAGTCCTGATTTGGAGAAACAAGAGGGAGGTTCCTCTTTCTTCTCAGGAAAACAGATCTCAATGTGTTACTCAGCGTTATTTGCTTTAGCATTTTCTACACAAGCAGCCATCTGTCGTCTCTTACCAGACTTGTAGTTTCACTTTCTTTCCATCCACTTCAATGGTTTTTACTTTAAAGTCGATGCCTGGGAGACAACGAGAGGACGGGAAAGAGCAGAGAGGAGAAGAAGGGGCGGGTAGGGGGGTGGGGGGGGATAAAGAATGAGTTAAATACCTCAGATATGAACTAAAAACACACCCGCCCAGGCACACTGCACAGTATATAGGCCACCCTCACACGGGTGGAGACTGATTCATGGATATTCCCACTGTGATTTTGACCCCCTCAGTGCACTCCCCAGCCATGCAGCACACACACTGTCTTTGAGTTTTTTTTCCTGCTGGATGGACAAGCTGACAGACAGACAGACAGACAGTGGAGAGGCCGACGAGGGGGGGGGTTGTCCTGTGAAAAAAACAACCAATAAATGTGCATGCCAGAAAGCCAACCATTCTTCTGGGAACGTAGAGATGGTAAAAGAGATAGGAATGAGGGTGGGTGGACCTTGTGAGAGCCAAGTGAGAGGAATGAGATCTGAGGGAGAGATGGGGGGGAGAGGGTCAGGGAAGAGACAACAGGAGGAAAAAACAGAAAAGAAAAAAAAAAGAGAAGAGAGATGAGGGTGAGAAAACAAAAGAGAGACTAGTTCAGACATGAAAGCAGTCTGAGAAGTGAGAAACCAGTTCGTACAGTGGCCGGGCATCAGATAGAGGAAGAATGAAATGTCAGCATTCAGCAATCATGTCCCAGAGTTTCAGAGAGGGGGGGGACGACCAATAAGCTGGTGCGGACATGTCGCAGGTTTAGAAGACAAAACATTTCACTGTTGACAACGTACCGATGGTGGAAATGTAAGTGGAGTTGAAATTGTCCTCGGCAAAACGAATGATCAGACATGTTTTGCCAACTCCGCTGTCCCCGATGAGTAACAGCTTGAAAAGGAAATCATACTTTTTCGCCATGGTCGGAGCTGTTCTTCAAAAGTTTAAAGCACAACTGCAAAAAGGGTTGAAAAGTCTGGGTTGTCTCTTTCTGGAAGTACTTCTCATCGACTTAGTCTTCAGATGTTGATTGTGATTGAAGCAGGGTTAAAAAAATAAAAAAAGTTTCTCCATGTAACTCCTCTTTTTCCCTTTTTTTTTTCCTCCTCTCAGACTTGTCACCGGTAAATTCCGATCCCCCTCAGTGCCTCTGTGCTGTGTTTGTGCGCTGCAGAAAGAAACACACACTCCATCCAAAGTTAGTCTACTGCAGATCACTCTTCATCAACACATCTATTCGAGATTCATTTTTCCTTCCTAGAGTCCATGTCACTCCGTTTACAAACGTACCGGGGTGGCTACGTGTTTCTTCTCCTTCAAAAAAAAAAAAAAAAGAAGAAAAATCTGGCCGTCGGCCCAGATCCCAGATCCGCTGAAAGGCTACGTAGTGTGGGAGTGCTTCATGGGAGCGACCGGCTCAACACCTGCAGGCACCCAGCGTGGGCACAAGATGGCGCCATTTGATCAGAAAATGAATAACTGTAACACACCTGAGGGGAGACCTTAACAAAGGTTTCTGAACTTCCCTTAAGGTCAAAGAAGCTCATTTAAAAATAATTCATAAGGTTTACCCGGTTGCAGAGTTTCTTTAAAGGTTTGAACTTGTAATATGACTGAGGAAACTTTAGAGCACGTGTTTTTCTCATGCCCTGTCCACATTTTCTTTAATATGGACAATTTAAATTAATCTGTTTCTGACACGATTATTAGGATCGTTGTTATAGATAAATGTCATATCCACAGTAGCAAATGGAGGAATAACGAGCCCTCTTTTGTGTATTTTTTAAATGATTTCAAATTGTTTTTATTTTGTCTGAAAAAAAAAAAGAATTCCAGTAAATTATAACGAAAGCTTTGTGGGGACATTTCACCCTTCTTGTTGTTTTTATATTTTAATTCTTGCTCCTCATAGTTATATTTTACTTCCTGGAGATTAAGATCTACTGTCTATTGTTTATGTTTCTATACGTTATTATTATTTCAATTTACTTTGATGTTTATTTAATGTATTTTCTACCTGTATGTTTGTTATTGTGTATTTAACAATAAAAAAAAAATTCAAAGATATTGAACCTGGCTGCAGACAAGATGGCGGACACCAAGCGATCTGTCGGCAAAAATAAATAATTAAAAAAATAAAAACCCTCTAATAAATGTTGGGAATGGAAATAATTAAATTTTTTATTGTTGAAATACTAAGTTATGTCCGGACAAGTAACTAACTAATGCTCTTAATTAGTTAAATCAGTTCAATTCTTCATGACAATAAAATTAAAACAATTAATTATATATATATTTAAAAAAAAGAAAAAACTACAAATAATTTTTTTTAATTTCAGGTAGTTGAACGAACACAAACTCCCAAAGAAAATTACCTTTATTAAAACAAACAAACAAACAAACAAACAAAAAACCCAGACACTTCCGCTTTGTGTTTGTCCGTCAGCCAGAAGTTTCCGGTGCGTTACCGATGTGATCTTCCGGTGAGCGTCCAGACACGCAGACATGCCTGTGAGTAACACTACGGTTTTTATATTTGCCATCCGTCGTTAGAAAGTGTTAAAATGGAGAAAGTTGAATACGATATAAAAGAGTGTTTAGTTTATGGTGGAATCAACGTGTTTATGTTGCTGTACTGTAAATGTAAAGGAGGTGAAAAAGGGACGCAATATGGCGAAACACGTGTACGACAAAAGCAGCACATGCTGCTCCCTTGCTCGCTAGCAGTCACACGTGGATTATTTTGGGGGTAAAAACTCCACTTTCTAAGATATCTTGGGTTGCGATTGCTCCAAAAAACCTAGTTATCCGTTTGGTTTGAGCGCGTTTACTTTCCCTTTGTTATATTTATTATAAAACTGTAAAGCGATCTCGACCTTTGCCTCGAATCATGTAGTAATAAAGTTGGCACCTGCGACCAGAACTGGAATTTATCATTTTATTGCAGTAACTTGAAGACTCTGTTGGTAAACTTCAACCAGTGTAGACTGATATTCAGCTGAACTGTTTGTGTGTAATGTCCTTTCAGCTCGCCAAGGATCTGTTGCACCCGAGTCCCGAGGAGGAGAAGAGGAGACACAAGAAGAAACGTCTTGTACAGTGTCCTAATTCTTATTTTATGGATGTCAAATGTCCAGGTGAGATTGTTTGTTAACCGCCATTTATAGATAATGGAGACAGAAAGTGTGTTTAGTAACACAATACACGGAAGTACTGACTGTGCCTAAATACAACTTCCTATTAAAGTACTAATAGTAGTACAACTATTGAGACTTCAGACTGATGGAAGGGAAATGTACTTTAATGGAAATGCTTTTCATTTCAATTATATACAATAATAAAATATACAACCAGTACTTTTTGATATTTGAGTACATTTTATTACAGTATACACTCAAGTGATATTTAAATTAAAGTCTAAATGCAGGATTTTCACTAATTGCTGATAAATTATTATTATCTAACAGGTTTAAGTATTTGTATAATATGTAAATATTTGCCTTTATGTGTTGCCCTTTCATTGTTCCGTTAGTGATTGGGGTGTCAAATAAGGCATACAGTGACACTTGTGACTGTCTATGTTTAAATGGGTTTCAAAGTGACTCTTTTACACAAACGGCTACAAGGACACATCAGTACAGTACACTGGGTTGCTCAATGACTATTATGTGTAATGACATTTTAAGGGCTGTCCCATTCAATGTTTTTTTTAAATTTGATTTGTGTGTTGTTCGCAGGTTGCTACAAGATCACCACAGTGTTCAGTCACGCTCAGACTGTAGTGCTGTGTGTCGGCTGTTCCACAGTCCTCTGCCAGCCTACAGGAGGGAAAGCTCGCCTTACAGAAGGTACAGAACCACTACATGTTCATCTTAAATCTACATATCCCTACACGCCTTTTTTTTAAAAATGCACCAATGTACACTGTAGATGTGTCACTTGTGTAACTGTTGTGTGTTCTAATAATAGATCATTTAATAGTTCATGTAAAATTATAATTGAATACCGCATGAAAAGCCCCAGGTTCACTGTGTGTTAATTGGTTTTTGGTAATTTCATTGATTGGAAATTGTAGAGTTTTCAGCACTTAATTACAATATCAGCAGCGGCATCATTAGTCAATCTTGTAGCCCTGTATTGTAGAGCGAATTATTGTTGGATTATATCCTACACACACACACACAGATATCATAAAGTTGTGTTTAATCAAATTACAACAAACTGACTCACAGAAAACCTGATTGGATTTTAAAAAACAAAACCTTTTTTTGAGTTTAAACAAAGAACAGCACAACACACAATTTCCCCCACCCCAGACCACCATATGTCATAACCCGAATAATTTAATGATTAAAGAATAATAAAATCGAAGGGGGTGGGAAAAAGGATAGCAGAATTAAACCTAAACATACATCCAACAAGTATGTTAATTAATAATATAAAATTAAGTAAATATTGTTTCTAGTCCACTATATATTCATGATTTTGGGGTAACCCGTTATCAGAAGCCTTATCATGTGGTGTGTTACACACCACATAATGAGAGGGGTCTTCCAACCAGAAAGGGGGCCAGGTAGCAGTATTTGCTGTATAATACACTTGTAACGGATGCCCGGATATTTGCCTTTGTGTTGCCCTCTCATTGTACTCTTCATGAACAGGGTGTCAACTAAGGCATACAGTGACTCTTGTGGTTGTGACAGAAATTCATCATAACTCAAGATCAATTTCTACACAATCAACCACAAGCACAAATACCTTCTTCATTCAGACATTGTGTTTCTTTTGAGTCAGTACAACAAGAAGTAGTTTCAGAATAGCTAATCGGGTATTTCTGATAAAACATGAATCGGATTTGTCTCACCAGTCAGAGTACATTGAAGAAAAGATGATGCACTGTATACAGTATGTTAGTGAATTGGTTGAGCTTAAGGTCAAGGTTTGCTTTTACTGACGCTCTCACTGGTCCTACCCACTCTATCCTGAGCTCCGCTGCCGTGGTAACTAAGGGCTTTTCAATGCACTCAGCTCTGAGTTACTATTGGTGCAGCTGCAGCTATTGGCACTAAAACCACACTTGTTTGGAGATGATTCAGTCTTTTTGAAAAGGCAGATAGCAACATGAGTTTTAGTTTTCTCTCCTGCTATATGTCAGTGAGTCAGTTTATGCACCATCCCTGATGTATTGACTGGCTTTGTTCTGTTAATCCCCAATAGCGATTGTTGATGCACCGCCTGCTTCTTAAATGTCAGCATTTTAATGTGTCCACGGTGTTCTCAAAAAGTAATTTGACACTCTTTTGAGTTTTGGACTCGTGGTTGCATGAAACAAAACATTTGAAGTTGTCACCTTGAGCTTTGGGAATTTGTGATTCAAAAATGTGTTGGTATACTGAGAGGCATTTCTAATATTTACTATATCCTCATAGACATAAACGGGATGGACAAGATACTCCTTACATTAACAATCAACACAAGCTACACATAACATCAACTATTCTCCATCTTTCCTCAGGATGCTCCTTCAGGAGGAAACAGCACTAGTTTAACCAGACATGGTTGGACACAGTTGAGGAAGTAGAATGAACACCGCTTGATGGACATCAAGTAACACTGCCATGGAGCTGATGCAGCAACGAGGAGACGGAGAGCATGTAATATAATTAGCCAATGAGAATATGCACAGAGAAATGCTTGGCGTTGTTGACATCCCACCAACACAGCTCATCTATTAATTCTTCTCTCTTAATAAACTTAGGTTGTTTTTTGGTAAAATAATCTTGCATGTTTGTCATCCAGTCTGTTCTTTTTGTTGTTTTTTTAAATCTCTTGATGGTTCGTAGATGTCATTTGTCTGGTAAAAGACACTTGTCAGCTCAGGACCACTTAACAAATTGCTGGTAAAGATCAGGACCATTTGAGGAGTCTATCCTCCATGTGTACAGACGTGTGGCCTTAACAGTTTTTTGTGCCGAGTAATTTTGCATTTGTTGGCATTACACCCTGTGATTAAGCATAAACATTTACAGGAAGGTGAGGGTATATGATGAGCCTGGCGGGTGTTGTTTAACAGTTAACACAGCACTATACATTTATGCAAATGTCCTTTGAAAACATCAGAGCAGTTCTGAGAAAGGGGACGCACCATGAGCTGAAATTGCAAATGAACCTGAGTTTTACTATGTAAAAGCTACACTCTGTATAAAAGGAATGTTGACTGATGTGTGAGTTTAAAGCTGGTAATAAATCCAGACACTAAATACATATATCTTTCAAGTTAAGGCCAAAGTGAAGTTTATTTAGGGTCAACACTGATGTCATTGGTGCCTGCTCCGAAGCCCGTGGTGTTGGTTCAGGGCCTGCTCTCATTCTGAACGAGGGTTGATTCAGGGAAAGTCGTCGCTGCCTCTGCTTCTGTTTCCCGATGCTTGTAAAACACAAACACAGTACGCAAGTGTTGTGACACTAAATGACATCATCATGAACATTGTGGTTGTGAATTTACATGTGCTTGAAAGCTTCCTGTGAAAATGATGATGAATTCCTGTGAAGTTGCAAAATAATGATCACACTAGTAGCTTGAGGGAAAAGCTAGAGATAAATGGGATGAAATCTTTTGTCCTACAGTTTACTCACAGCTGTTAAGGCACGTAGGCCATTTGCACAGTCGCTATATGTGACAGCATTGAGTTATACACTGAATAAAGAAACTGAATCAGGAGAGGGAGTGAATGATAACTTTCTTGTTGCTATGGTGACATTTTTCTTGTGTCTTGCTTGTATATTGGACACAGCTTACAAATAAAATCATAGTAAATGGGAATATTATGTGCCTCCTGGTTACTGAATGACTATTAAAGGATAAATGTTTATTCTACACTCACTTTTCATGCTGTGTTCTCCGACAGCCACGTTAAACAATTTACGCAGCACTCGTATACTTTCAACTAAAGGTGTTCTAATGGATTAATGGCTACATACAGACATTGAAAACCTAATTAAGTTTTTTACTAATGTTAGTTACAAAATTATTTTTTGTATGATTGTGGGATTGCTGCAACGGTGGATTGTTTATGGAGTTTCAGCACCATCGCACTTGTGGCAAACACGTCACTACTGCTAGCTACAGTAGCTAGGAAGCTCATCTCATAATGTGCAAATGAGGATTTGATCAAAAACAAATGCACTAATCATTTGTAATAGGTTAATCCATCCATTTCTTGGCTTATCTGGATCCAGGTCACATAATTTAATTGAATACATGATTAGAAATTATTGTTATATACTGCTGGGAAGTACTGAAAAAGACAAGTAAATAACTCTAGGCCATATGATCCCAACTGGTTTTCAATTATTCTTTCATACTTAAGCCGTATAACTGTGAAACAGGTAATAATTTGTGTTCTATGTGGTCCAGTGAGGAGGTGACTGTCAGTACTATGGAAGAGCTCTCTAATGTATCAGAGCTCAAGGCTACAGCTGTCGGAATAAACCATTGACAGTATATATAAGGAATAAACGTATAGTGTAGTATAGTGGCCACTGCATGGTCATATCCAAACAGGAATTTTAAAACCAAATATCCCAAAACTTGTCAAAGTGTTTTTTACAGTTTCTTTGTGGACTGTTGATATTTAGCACCCAATATTCATATATTACTTGGAACTTTCAAAATCAGGTGTCTACAGATAATGGGAGTATAATAATAATAATAATTCAGTATTATTTCAATGCAATAATATTCTTTACATAATTTAAATTCACTCTAAGGCTCAAAGGCTGTGTAACAAACTGTGTGTACAACCTTGTCTCTTTATACTTGTGTGTGACAGACCTTAAGGGATGACAGCATGTCCTTGGTTCCCATCACACTAAGGACCAGGCGGACGCGAAGCAGTGAAAGGCCGGCAGGTAGAGAAGCATCTCTGGGACACCTGAGAACAGCTGCGACAGAGAGGGGACTGACCCCGCAAAGAGGCTCAGACAGAGAAATGAGAGGGTCAGTGGAGAGCAGCTGGGAAACAGACTCATCCTGAGAGTGGACAGCCACTCGACATCTGCACACACCTGCAGGGAATGAGAGAGCGAGGAAGAGTACACTTTGCCAAACCTAGGATTAAAAAGGGCTATGTGTCAAGTACTAGTGTTGTGATCATAGTGTGGAGATACTTTCAGCACTGACTGTAAAATGTTAAGTTGTAGGTAGAGGGTGCTAAAGTGCATTATTCTCTCAGGGTGCAGCCTGGCTCTCTGTGGCTTTCCTTTTTGATAAGGGTGCAGCTGACACAAATTAAGAGCAACGGGAAGACAATAGATGAATATGGGTTGTGTTGGTTGATGCTAGTTTATTCTGGAACTCATATGCATATGAGTCTATCAATAAATGTTTGCATTTATCCATGCATCCATAAATTAGCTCCAATTCTTTGAGGACTTGCTGTTCTTCCTCTAGCCTGCAGCAGACCATCACTGTTCCAATATGCTTTAGGGCTGCCCTAAAATACACGATTAAGCGCCCATCTGATCTGGTTTGATCTGGAACAGGTTTGCCGTACTTAAGCACAGCGCATTGTATGAATGGATACAGAAAGACAGGGATAGCAAGGGGAGTGTAGTCACTGAGGGAGGTGTTGATGGGATCCATTGTCACTGCTAAAACTCTTTTGTCCTGCAAAGTCTGGACACATATATAAAAAAAGATGGCTGTCAAATTCTGAAGTCATCTGTGCCAGGTTATCACTGACTGGGAGGCAGAGTGGAGGATGGGACCAGAAGATCGATAGTGAAGGGCAGAAAAATCATTCAGAGACATGGCCAGATGAGTTTTTACTGTATCGATCAGAGCAGTTTGCATTCTCGTCCCAGCTTTGAATTCAGCCAAAGGAAAGTTGTAGAATGAAAAAGTGATATGAAAGAGGATTGGGGAGAAAGACTGAGAGAAAAAGAACCAGAAACTGAAGAGATTAAAAGAGTAAAAAAAGCTCACTGAAGAGACCTGGAGTTCAACACACACACACACACGTACAATTTTGTTTATTTGAATTTCTCCTTTGCCAAGGACAGAGCCATTACACATCATTAGCATCCAGTGCACAATTAACTGACCCGAACACTGACGAGCAGAGTCTGGCTGACCCCATATGTCTCCATGGCAACGACCTCCAGCAGAGCAGAGCTAGTGTCTGGGCCACTTGTCAGAATCCCCTGGGAGTCCATGGTGACAAGACGTGGCCTGTCACACATTGACACAGAACGTGGTGCACAGGGCAGATGGCAGCTCTGGTAAACAAGACAACAGCACACAGTGGTCCTGACTAGAAGACTCTTGATTTCTGGGTAAAATTTATTTTCCACTGCTAGAATTTATTAAATCCTTTTTTCTGTTTAAAGCCTCTCCACAGGTACAGGTAGAGAGTGAGTGTCATGGACACTTAAGCAGACACTCACTCCTGTCTTGACTACACAACACAAAGACATACACACCCACACACAGCCAAACACAAGGAATCTATTCAGTCTGAAGATTAAAAAGCTGAACATTGGATTAAAAAAGAAAAAACGTACAAATTCAGGTAGTAATTGGATTGTAATAACACAGTTTGCAGCACGCTCTCAGTTTAATTGCTTATTGTATTTGTAATGGCTTTGATGACTCTGATTGATCTGTAGCGTAATCAGCAGGCCATTTACATTATTTCCCCATTTTCCCCACTCCCAATTATCCTAACTGTCATTGATGTATAACAGGATCCTGTTTACCCTAAACTGTGGTAAACAATGTCTTACTGCAACAGGAATCTTTCTTTTAAACTGACATATTACACATTGTGCTACACAGAAAGACACAGAAGGAAAGAGAGGCAGAAAAAGAAAGATCTGGCCTGGACAGGTTTTACTACTACCGTGTCAAGGTAAAAAGAGATAAATACGATGAAATGTGAGTTTAAGTGTGTGTCCCTCGTGGGTTACATCAGGTAGGGTTTAGGAGGGGTCCGCTTTGCTGCATATATTTTACCATCTCACAGAAGCAGTAGGAATTGTGGCCCCTGTGCCCCTCAGTCACAAAGTTGATATATTAGTAAACATATGCTTAAAGACACACACCAAGACAGACATCTGTACCATGCACATGCACATATGCGCGCTCAAGCTCCCATGCACGTTCATAGAAACAGACAGGAACACACACACTACACACACCTCTCTGCAGGAGTGAGGGTCACAGTGATGGATGCTATCCCTGAATGGCCGTGAGTATTAAAAGCCTGGCGACCTGGTAAAAACAATCCGTCATGTCAGTTTGTCGCAGCTTGAAATTAATCATTCCTGTGTCGGTGATAATTTCCTGCATTAATTATTCTGACCATGTAGCTTAAATAGTCTGCACGCTGTGAGTGTGTCTGCCAGCACCATGTTTAAAAGAACATTTAGGGGGATGAAGAGGAGTTTGAGGAGTCATTGAGGGATAAGTGAGGTTGTCAAACTCCACCCCCTTCTGGTCAAAGCCCGTTATCTACAGTTCCACACCCTTATGACACTGGGGAGAACGCGAGGTTGGGCATAGGAATAAATTCTTTCTAGTGTGGCTCTTTTCTATGGTAAAAATACAAAAGTACAAAAATATTTGCTCAGATCATTTAGCAAAGCAGCGAGCAGAGTGATAGAGGGACATGAGTTGGAGGGAGAAAAACAGGGTGGCGGAGAGAAGATGTAAACACAGGCTGTTTCAACCTACTGAGAATGTTTGAGCACACTGCTTTGTGTTGGCTAATTGCAGCCTAGCTCCTAATGGAGGAGGCAGATAATGTGTTGGGACTGCTGTCAATAGTTTGCATGGGAGAAAGGCTCAAAATGTAAATATATAATCACTAGGCAGATGCCACTCAGTTGTTTCGGTTAGCCAAGTTGTTACAGAGTGTGTTTGCACAAATGGAATAAGTTGTGCAGTCAGAAAAATGCATTTGAATAGTAAACTCATACATATACAATTGGTTATTGACAAAACAAGTAAATACACTCTGTATTTGAGCAGTCGTTTATAAACAGTGTGTTTCAGAAATACACAGACAATACTTGAATGACGAATATTAAAATGATTTAACTGAACACTGTGCTGTGCTACAGTACAGAGACAAAAGTTCCATTTCGCTCCATTCACTTATTCATTCATTTTGTTCGCCCATTGCCTTTACCCATTCATACCTACTCAGGGTTCATAGTGATCTAGGATCTATCTGTGCATGCATTTGAGGAAAGGCAGGGAACACACAAACACACGCAATAGGCCATTTACAGTCTCCTGTCCAACTGACCTACATTCCTCTGAAAAGTGAGAGAGCACCACAGCAGCACATAGAGACGGATGCAAAAACATGTCAGTGAACATAAACACTCCCATAGAAAGGCAGAAAAACCGAACACCATTCTTGTTTATGTTTAAAAAATGGTCCATCAACAGAGTACAGTAAATCCCCACAAAAGTAATTGTAACCCACAACAATCACTGCTGTCACTGGTGGCACTTCAGCTTCAGTGCAGTATGAAATGAAAAAATAATGAAATGTTTAGGGATTCACAATTTTTTTTTCATATTACATCAGGTCTTGCAAAATCAATTTGACTTGAATGTCCAATTTGTAATATACTCAAGCCTATTCCTGTCGGAATCACCCAATCAACAGCTTTCTCTGGGCTCATTAAAAATAAACAGTCAGTGTGAAGTACACACTGATTGCTAATCAACTGTTTCACAAATGCATGCATGTGAGCGTGCGAGTGTTTTTGTGACTCCCCTTGCTCGGCATCCTTTCTAGTCTGTGTTAGGAAACTCCTGTCTGATATAGACACAGGCGGTTGCTATGGAAACCAACATTACTTTTCAGTAGAAGTAACTGGGGAGGTATGGAAGGAGTTGGAGGGAGGGGAGGGCGGGTAAAAGCAGAGTTCAAATGAATATGAAATTAAAATGTAATCCTCTGTGTGTGTGTGTGTGTGTGTGTGTACCCACTTCTCAGCATCTGTCTATGAGTGTGATAAGCAGAAGGTATAGAGCTAGCAGCAGGGAGGCAAGGAGGAAAAGAGCAGAGGAAATAAAAACTTGCTGTGCTTGTGGGGCACTTGGACTGAAGGCAGAGTTTGGATGGAGGATAGAGGAGGAGGAGGGGGCATAAAGACAAAGAAGCAGGGGAGATACAGCCCACTTTCTCCTTTTTTGATGGCTGATAGTTAGGGGCCTGGAGTTTCAATACTGACAAACACCAGCCACTGAACAGGCACGCATGCACAAAGTTAATATAATAATGTGCCCAGAGTACTGATGTCAAGAGACAACTCTAGAGCCAGGCTAAGATGCTAAAAATATCTCACTTGACAAAATACCAGAGTCCCACCTGTATGCTGGAAGCCACACAAGTAACATTGCTGGCATGCTGTTGTCTGTTCCTCGGCTCTAATTGGCCGACTGCCCCCACCTTCAGCCTGTCCACATCCTCCTCCAAGGGGCCAAAGGGCCACAACTTGAGAACTTCCTCTTTTACAATGAGGTGTGGCACTCTGATGGAGAGCACTGCCTCAAAAAACCTATAAGGAAAGAGAGAAGAAAAGCCACACATTTAGTGAGAAAAAGAAAGAGTGAACTGAGAATTAAACGTATAAGTGGCACTGGGCCCTTGCTGTGAGTATAGTATGCAGAGGAGTTACAGGTAGCAGAGTTATGTCAGTGGAGGTGGCAACAGTTGAAGTCCTGTCGGCGGGGAAGCAAAGCACATCTCCCCTGTGGCATCATTAAAAAGCCCACCGTCTCTCCCCTCATCCCGATTCAACTTAACAATCTGAAAAATAGGTCAATTAACAACCTCTGCTCTCTTACTCCTTCTCTCTCTCTCTCACACACACACACACATATACAGGCATGTCCCCTGCACGCAGCCAGAGGAGAGTGTGGGCGGCCAGTGTTGCCATGGAGCTAATATTGTACCGGTTCGCTTCCGTGGTGATGGTGATGAGGGTATGTCATGGGCCCGCTGCTTCTACCTGCACGGCAACCTGATACAATGATCAACAAGCTTTACAAAATCTTCAATGTATTATGGAAAAAAAAGAAAAAGGAGAATGAATTTACTCTTGTACAGTAGCCAGCTCCCTAGAGAACATATGAGCGGCACTTCACCAACTATATCAGTTCTTTCTAAGAATGATCATCCTCTTGTGTTAAACTGCCTAGCTGAAAACGTACAATATGCATGGACCACTTTACTGTGTAAATTCCTATTTAGGTGCTGGCCAACCTTCTTAGGAAACTACATTAAACATTTATGGATTTAAAAAAGTTACTGACTGCCCACTAAAGTGTGAAGGGTTCAGGTAGACTTTTAAGAGCTTGTAATCTGATCTGTTATACTAACAAACGCACGCATTAATAATTTTATCGCTAATGGAATGTCAACATTACTTCCATGATTGTGTATGTGGTAGAGAACCAACTAATCCAATCAAGTCTCTTATGCACTTAGCATGAGAAAAGTTAATTGAACAGAAAGGGGAGAAAGCATATTGCCATAACCTTCTGAGCCCTTTATTGCGTGCATACAGCCCCATTAAATGAAAATGTCTACGTAGGTGTCTATGAAAGGAGGAGTTGGCATTAAGTAAGTCAGGGATAGTTATGCGCTTCCACAACTCTTTGACTTACTTGGGCCAAGCGGAGCAGAGCTGAAGACCACACACACACACACACACACACACACACACACACACACACACACACACACACACACAGTATTACTAATGCAAGATGCTAAAGTGCTGTACTGTAAGATGTGGAGACGCAAGGCAAGCACTGACTCAGCCCGATAAAAGTACAAAAACAAAATGTTGTGGTAGCGTTATCAGGTTTGGACACTGAATTCCACTCATGACAAATGTTCACCTGGTATTAGCAAAAGACTTCTACATATTAAGCTAAAAATTTAACTGGGTTTCAGTATTGGCTAAAGAGAGCAGTGTAATGTTACAAGTTTATATTTTAAATCACCACCTTACAGGTTTCTGAGTATTGTTATAATAAAGGTGGACATTATAACAACTTGGACTATAATTAACCCTGGAGGCCAAATGCTGATATGGAAATCTATCAGGAAGCAGTCTGTGGCCTCCAACACAAAGGCAGAGCAGGTTGAATTTAAGTCACTTTGTTTGAAACTAGGTTCAATAAAGAACTTACAGTTTGGCAACATGAAGGCAGTCCAAAGAGGCAAAGAAATCCGATCCTCTTACATAAGAAAGCAGATTGCGAACTAGCAAACACAGGCAGGTCCACAGAACAGGGAGCAGGCAGGCACATATGGCTATAACACAAAGTATTGCACATGAACAGTAAACATGGCTGGTACTGAGGGACTGACTGAGGAACAGGTGTGGAGGGAGGAGCAGGATCAGGTGACTGGCAATAGGCGGGGGAACTTCTGAAGACATCTGGTTGACAGATGGGGACTGACGGGGACTAAGGGGACGGAGAAAGGTAGACAAGGATGCAAGAGTTGACTGAATATTTTGCTTTAGTTAGTATGAATCTTGAATTTTGGTGTGTGTGCATTCACCTATCCTATGGTAGTGTGTAGAGAGTTATGTATATTCAGTCTTCCCACTGTTATATCTCCTTTCATCATCACCACGGCAACATCACTGTCACTCTCTGACCCGCTCTTCCTGCTCAGCACGCGCACACTCGTAAACACACACAAGCACACAAAAAATCCAATCTTTATGAATTCAATACTGTCTCTAATCCCTCTTACCATAAATACACAAATGCACACACACACACACACACACACACACACACACACACACACACACAGACCTGTATGTGCTGGTATAGGTCTGACCCTCTGGTTGCCAGGGAAACACCAGGACATCAGGCAACAGAACAGGGGGTTCATAGATCTCCACTTCCTGGTGAACTGTGACTAGTCTGGTGGAGTCATCAGAAGGGTTTTACTGCCATGAAAAGGATGGGAGAGAAAGTAATAGTGTGTTTGTGTGCGTGTGAGTCCATGCTCCTGTGTTATGTCTGCAACAATGCTGAAGCGGCTATATATGTCCACAAAATAATGGGTTTTGTTGATAGAAGCTTCCAGTTCACCACTCATCTCTACTGTCAGCACAAAGAGGAGTTAGAGATAAAAGATCCTGTTGCGATGGGAACAGCCTCCCGCTGACAGAACCTGGTGACATTTGGGCCGGTTGTTATGATGATGACATTATAGTTGACAGGTGTACCACATGATCGTGGATCAGTACAGGCAGGTGATAATGGTGGCCAACCTCTGGCATCCATCTGTCTGCCTCCTCTTCCACTGACAAAGCTAGATGAGCACACACATACACAGAAACACACAAGCCATCCTCGCCAATACAGGAGTGTGAGGTAAGGTCGCTGCTTTTAAGCGTAATGAGGCAGCTGGGCTCCACCATGCAGACAGCAACAGAAGAGCACATGGAGTTCAGGGGAATCAACCAAGTCTGGAGAAAAAGATACATGAGGAAAATACTCTTTTGTGTTGTTGTGTTGTGCTTTTGGGTATGTAAGCTATTTATTTCTTATATAGTCAAACTGTCCTCAGGGGGACAAAAAAATAGCAAAAACTGCCTTTTGTGTGGTGATTTAATTTTAGAGAAAAGAAGGGGGGTTAGAATACAACTTATTTGAAGTCATCTTAATAAAGTTGGAATGACGGGTCAACTCTTGCCAAAAAGGATGCATTCCTTGTCTTTGCAGTAGGTCGCGAGAATCCCTACAGTACAGAAAAGAACAAGTGTCATGATGGCTGAGCACTAGGATGGATACTGGGGTGTGAAACAGTGTAACACATCTTGTCCAGACAGCTGTCAGTGTGGCTGACACAATCATGACATTATTATTGTTGTCTGGGAGTTGTTGCTCTACAGGTAAACTGGTAACCTAAAAACCAAGGCTCACATCTGGGCATAGAGAAGGAGAAAAAAGAGTTGATTGTATTTAGACCTTAGAACACAACTACCCCTTTAAACCACAACACACCTGACTTTGGAAAGTGGTCAGCTATAATGTAAAGTATTGTGTATTATAAGAAATGGCTTAAAACCTGTGACAATGTATTGTTTGATCATTCTACTAATGCATCTTAGTTACATTAATTAAAATGTTTTCTTTCTGGTGTTACATTTTGGCCATTTCTTCTTCTTTTTTCGTAAAATGTTCTTGAGTAATGAAACGTTCTTGCAGTCACATTATTGTCATTGTTTTGGCTGAGTCTAGCCTGAATATGCGTAAAAACATATCGCAATTTCCATTTTCTGTGGGTCCTTTGCTATGCTTGGCTCAAACTGCAATTCTGAAAGACTAAATTGGTTTCCTGGAAAATGGAGAGACTGAGAAACAGGTGGAGAAGAGAGAGAGAGAGAGAGAGAGAGAGAGAGAGAGAGAGAGAGAGAGAGAGAGAAGCAAATGAGAGTGTTAAAAAAACTAGGCTATGGACATTACCTTGGCCTTAAAATTATAGAGCACAATCATGACAATGGACATAGCCTGAGAGAGATGATGAACGCCCGGGGAGCAGAAGAGCCCGCCAGTAAATAACATAGATAACAAGCTCATCACATCTGGGTACGTGCTGCGCCCCGGGCAGAACAGCGCCTCAGGCTGCCTGGCTTCCACACCTCTGTTATTCTGTTTCATTTTCACCCTGGGCTACACACACAACGGACTATGATTCCTGTTTCATGAAAAAAATTTAAATCAATTTCCTCTGTTCAGGAAAATTGTGTGAATGCTGTGACTGCCTTCTTGCTCGAGTACATTTACTTACACACGATAAGCCCAGAGAAGATTAGTGTTCGCTCACCTTTGGAACGAGCGCTGGTGTTTAATTTAAATAGCTTTGACTCAACTATCATCAATGAGTAAGAAGACCTAAATAAGGTACTTAACATATAACAAGTTGTTGTTATGATGTCAAACTATTAAATGTGACTCATTACCTCACACCCTGAGGTATGGCCAGCGAGCAGTTATATAAATGTCTTTTTAGTTTGGCACATTCTGACAATCCATGCACAAATAATGTGATATTACAAATAACAGATACTGAGTGTGTGGTCCTTTTTCAGACTATCCTGAACTGTGGTATCTTCACTGCCCTGATAATAATGTTTGAAAACCGTGTACTGTAATGATAACAGCTTCAAAACTCCACAATGTCTATTCTATTTACAAAGACCAGAAGTGTGTGAAAGGGAAAAATTGTTTAAATGAACAAATAAAAAGTAAAGACAAAAGAGAGAAAGACGAGAGAAAGCTAACTTCACCCTGCCTATTGTGAACCTTTTTCACAGCTAAAACTTTATTCCTCACTCACACTTACTTTGCTAGGCCTGCTGCGGTAAGATTATAAACCTAACAAAGGATTACACCCAATTAGTATGAGGACGTCTGACAAACATGCAAATCCTAAAACAAACAATCTTCTGTTGTAAAATGCATCTCCAGCTGCAACAAACACTCCCAACCACAATTTGAATTACATAAAAATGGAAAATAGGACAATCTTTTGCAGGATGACCAAATAAGTGACCTAAAAGGTTGTTACCACAGGCTTTTCAGACATAATCAGTTAACAAGGACCTAAATGAAAATCAGTTCTGTAGCACAAAATGGCTCCTCCCCATTTTTTGTGTCTTTTTTTTCCATAAGCGTATTAGTACTAATTATATGCACTAGCACAGAGTCATCACTGCATTATTGTACTTTATATTCACTGTTGTTGCATTGACTCACGCGTCAGGAAAAGTTTGCAGGTTTATTGCAAACTTAATCATATCCAATGCATCCACGATACAACTGTAACTTAATTTCAATTAAAACTCAAATCATTTTTTGCTTGTGCTGAATGCAAATGCAAACAAAAACAGAGGATGCCACTTGTATCCCTGCTTAGACAGCCGTCCCTAAGTAGTCGGATTAAAATGTGAAATTGGTCCCCCAGATTTGACAAAGGTAAAACCAGTCACAAGCATACTCACTGAGCATCCACATGTCTCCACTTCCCCCTTCACCAGAGCCCCATGCTCATGTTGGTGGTGATTGGTGCCAGTATAGCAGAGACTGACGGAGCACAAACTGGCCTCAGGTAGAGGACTGATGAACAGAGAGAGAGAGAGAGAGAGAGGCTTGGACATAGACAGAGGCTGGACACAGACTCAGTGTCAGGTCTGGATGATTTCCTGAAGTTACACAAATGGATTAACACAAGCACAGAGACAGACAGACACACCAGCAAGTGCAGCTTTTTTTAATTTTTTCCATTACTTTGACTAAAACTAGGTTTACACACACATTCAAAAGTCATTAATCCCAACTTCCATTTGTTGATTAATGTTCATGCTCAAAGAAGCAAAAGAGTTTGGTTCAGGGTTACCTTGTTGTAGTTTTCTAACGGGTTATCAAGTTTTCCAGCAAAACTATAAGAGTTAGCCTAAATTCGTAACCTAGCTACCTTTAAACCCCCAACATTTAACAGGTAAAATTACACACAAGATTAAAAAAACAATTATCTCATTTAAATCTTATTTTTAAGAAAGACAACCGACTCACTTGAATATTAGCTACAGGTAGGGTAGCTAACGTCAAAGATGCTGCTAACGTCGGTAACTTAGCAACAGGGTGTCCAGGTAACCTGGCAACTATTGAAACCATGACAACCCAAAAACGTAAATATCCATCACATCGAGGAAAAATGGTGGCTCTCTTCAGCGTTTCGTCACAAATTATAAATGATATTGGCCACAGTAACAGAGAGATAATCATTTTACAGTGAGAGAGATATGAAAATAGGCCCATCATTGACGGACAAAATAACCAAATAGCCTGTAGCAACTCTAAAATTAGTTTGTTACATTATGTAATGTCCAAATGTTCATTAATTGTTCGGTGTGAGACGCACAAAATGAAACACATTTTGCTTATTGTTGTGTCGCATTAGGGGGAAATTGATTCCACTGAATGAAGGATATCTAAACTGTGAGCCCCGTCACACCAAAAATAAAAAATAAAACAAATAAAACAAAAATCAAATGAAAACAGCGACACAGAAAAACATGGAAGCTATAATGTTAGAGATATATACTTTATTAATTCTCTCTGATAAAATAAAATTACAAAATAATTTCAACCTCAAACGGCACTTTCCTTGTTCATAATTATTTAACGTATTGTTAATACATATATCATAATTGTCATGACGAATGAGAAGAATACTATAGTTTAGTAATATTAGATATCAGCTATAACTGCGTTTAATCATAATGGTAGAAAAGACTAAGCAATACAAAGCTAGATTTCGTTAACAGCATACTATACAATATTCCAAGCGTATGTAATTCAGTATTCCGGCCACAGCGTGTCGCTATAAGACAGTTTTCATATTGTCTCCAATGCAAGGGTAGGCTTGTCTCTTTTCCCATCACCATTATAAATCCTCTCAGATATACCTTAAGTCTCGCTTTCTATGTTTTATTTATTTCATAAACAGCTGCTCCTTCATGGCCATTTATCCTTTATAAGGTTTATTTGTGTTCCCTTGTGTTCATCCGTAGTCCACCATGATCTGTTTTAAAGCAGTGAAGAGCAGTCCATGTACAGCACTGTAACAAGTCCATGCCCAGATTTTCACAGTTATTCCCTCAGAAATATTGTCAAGATATCTGCAACGCCTCCTGCTATCTTTTGTCCCCGGTGACAGCAGCGTTCCCTGCCTCTTATTGAAGTCCATTTAAGAGAGAGCACTTTGGTTGTCGAGGTGTGTGTATCTGTGTGTAAGTGCGTGTTGGTGTCTGTTCCTGTGTCTGCATGGCAGTTTAAGTGATCGAGCAAGCAAGAGAGAGTGTTTGAGTGTATTTCTTTACACAGAATACATTCATGATAACAGTACGTTGTTTTGGGACTGCAAGCTTGAAGAAGAATGGCAGTAAGTAAGGTCTTCTTCCCATTATGAAGGGTCGTAGACACAACCATACACTGTGAAAAAATATTAATCACATCAACTTATAATCACACAGCTAAATAATTATTGGATTTTTTTTTTAAATTAATCAGTCAATTAAAGTACTAATGTAAAAATGCTATTTTAAGTATATTTTTTTAATGAAAACAAAACAATAAATAACTACAACATCCAAGTCAATTTGACTCCACTGACTTCAGCCACGTCTCAGTAAAAGAATAAGCAGATCATTTATTATTGGTGGGTAACGTTTTTGACTTAATTTAAGTGCAGACCTCTGGTTAGATAGACTCCAGTAAATTTAATAACATGAAATGAGAACACTCAACCAAATGTGGAGCATCAAGTTTGTGCTAGGCTCTGTCTTGTAGAGTTTCAAAAACAGTTGCGACATCTTCTTCAAAATCAATTAACCCGATTGAAATGCCTGATTAATAAATAAATGTTTATGTTGCGATCTGTTCTTTCATCCTAAAACCATCCCAGTATTAATGCACGTACAACTATAAATTGTCAATTTTAAGAGGTTCTTTTTTTTATAATAAAACTGTCCAGAGAAATCAGTACAGCAAACCTACAAATACACTTAAACATCAGTTCAACTTAACTTGTAATTTAATAAATGCAGAAATAAAGTCCCGCTGTAGTTGTGTTAGGTTATTTTATTATCTGCTACTGTCTTCCTCGTCACAAACGGACGTTATGATGACTTACGTCCCTTAGTGATTGACAACAGCTTCATCTGTAGTTTGTGTAGTTCAGTGAACATTTACGATTCTCCCGACTGAGTATTTAAAATGTCACAACTATGCATTGTAAGTCTAAACTACTGCATTAACTCGCACCCACAAAAGTGATGAACATTTTTTA